ATTCTGCTTTTCTGGAGCTTTTCCAGGTGTATTAATTATAATAATTATAATAATTACAGAAGAGATAATCACTTTTGCAATGTTGTTGGACTCTGTGTTGCATCACCAGTAGGAGAATGGCCAAAGTAAACATGTTTGTCACATTGCAGAATCAAAAGTTAGGAAGGGATCTCTAAGGTCATCTTGTCCTATCTGCTTGCTAATGTAGGACATCCAGAACTAAAAACAAACCAGAGATACAGAAAACACCCCACCTGTAGACAGACATCCATCTTTTCACTAAAAACTTCTCTATCAAAATGTGTTTGGAGGTGAGCCAACTGCGTCCTTTTCTCACTTGTCTAATTTCCTACTGCTATTGGCCCTGACACTCTCTGGCATATGTAACATTGATTCCAGTTGCTAGATCTTGGAAACAGAGATGGAATGGGTCCAAAGCATATCAGGATATAGAGACCCTGGATAATACAGTCCCAGTACTTTTCACAGAACACATATATACCATTTGAAGCTGAGTGCCATGCTTGGGAACACCTAAGACAGTGTCAGGGACTGGCTGGACGAGGAAGAGTATTGGCACCCAATGGCCCAGGAGGGACCTGAGTGGGAAGGAGACTTTGAACCTGGTTCAGAGTGGTGGGACTGAGAGGAATCATTTTTTTTTTTTGTTAAAAATAATTTTTATTAAATTTCCATTTACCAAATTAAACATATCATACCAATTAGTCCAAGTTGTATCAATACACATAATAAAGTCCAAATGTTTTCCAAATTATAAATTTTTTGTGGGGGATTCCCATGCTTCGTGATCGGCCAGAGTCCAATCATCTATATTTATGCTGCTTTCATGTTTACAATGATGTTTTCATTCCCATCTTCTCAACTCTTTGTCGTTACTCATTTTCCTTTTCTGTCACCTCCGAGTTCTCTCCACAAGTGGATTGAAAAAAAACAGTCTTGTTTATATCTCTGTGTGGGCTTTGTAATGCTCTCTTGTAGAACTCTCACAGAAATCCAATAGTCCAGGCATTCGTTCGAGCAGACACGCCATCTTGCCGCTCCGATGAAATACAGTCTAAATGTCCGCTCATTAACTTTCCAGACCCGCTGCATCGTAAATTAGTCCTCCAGGAGGGTAATAGCCTTTCAAATTTACGATCCCAAACTGATAACCAATCCACGGCTCTTCCTCCCTAAGACCATATATCATGTAGCGAAGGTCTGCCTGTCCATATCGAGTCACAATTCTTGCTGCGTCACAGAGAGAGCTTCTTTTTGTTTCCAAATCTTTCACAGAATAAAACCTTTAATTCATATTATTCCCCCCCCACAGTTCATTTTTAATCCCTCTTGCAAATTAGTTGTTGAGACGGTTCTTTAAGGGGGAGGGTTGTTAAATTAATCACATGAAAAAGTAGAAAGTCTTTCCTCCCTTCCATTCCATTCCTCCTACCAGCATGTCTGCAATTCTCTGATGTTATCTCTGTTCCTTCCGTCCCGATCTTCTTCCTCAATGGTAAAATTATTAGCAGATAAAAACAGAGACGGTTCTTTAAGGGGGAGGGTTGTTAAATTAATCACATAAAAAAGTAAAAAGTCTTCCCCCCCTTTCCGTTCCGTTCTGTTCCACCTACCAACATGTCTGCGATTCTCTGATGTTATCTCTATTCCTTCCGTCCCGATCTTCTTCATCTCAGTGGTAAAATTATTAGCAGATAAAAACACTCCCGACCTCTCTTGAAGCATGTGCGCTTACTTCTCCAATTTTTTCTTCCTTTTAAGCAACACAACCAGATTCGCCCCTGAAAGCAGCTTCAGGGAAGTTCCGAGCCTGTTTGAGGGCTTTCTGCCCAGTGCCTCTCACCACCTCCTTCATCCGAACTCGGGGTGATTTATGGCAACCGCGGGCGAGGGCAGCATCTTCCGACTGAGAGGAATCATTAATGGAGAGTTAGGGTGAAAGGGAGAGTCTTTTCCAAACACTCTCCCTTGTGGTGTGTTCCCTCTGCTTCCTGTCCTCTCCCCTCTCCTTGGGAGTCCTCTGGGTTGTTGCTGCTGGTCTCTGAGCTGCTGCCCTACCCCAAAGAGAGGCATCTCCTAACACTGCCCCACAGGGATCTGGGAAGCTCTCCCTAGCCAGCCCCAGAGGCACCATTCATCTGGGGAGCTTGTATCCAAGGCAGAGATGAGAGAGGGCATCAGAGGAGGGAGGGAAAGGAACAGGGACAAAGGCCAGTGTTGTCCACGGCACACCTGACCAGCATTCAAGGCATCCCAGGATGCCACACTAATTAAAAACCACTGGTTTAAGTCATCTCTCTCTTACTCTGGTATCAAGCGTCATTCCAGAATCCAGGGTGGCCCATCAGTGTAAGGCAGTGATAGGCACTGTTATGCCGTCCAGAAGTTTTGACTATAGCTTACATCATCCTTGATAATAATGGTCTGTTGTAAGCTGGTGGGAGCTGCAGTTCAGCAACCTGTGGAGGGCCACAGATTGACTACCCCTGGTGCAAATAAGAGTGGGGTATACAATAAAGCTTCATCTCTAGTGTGATATTTATCTGCCAGGGCTGTGTCAAGTATTAGAGACCTCTGAGTCTTGAGCAGTGTCTATGGCAAGGTGAGTCACTTGCCTCCCTACACAGCCTTATGTCGATTAAGGTAAGAGTGTAGAGAGTGCAAAACACAACACAGATAATTACAAAATTGTATTATTTGCAGATGATATTCTTTTATTTATTACAAAACCAGAAGATACAATTCCAAAAATTATGGAGATAATAAAAACCTTTGGCAGAATATCAGGATATTCTATAAATTGGACAAAATCAGAGATTTTACCAATTGGGCCAAGGGCTACATTGTATAGAAACCATCAATTTCGGATGTGCAGGGACTTTATTAAATACTTGGGTATAATGATTTCATCAGATATAGACCAAATTGTAAAATTAAATTTCAATCAAATTGTAAATG